TCGAGTCCTTAGAATAATTATGCAACAATATTTGAAAAGAGGGAAAAGGGATAACATGAGACCAAAAAATAACTGTAATGTTCCTACATCAATCACCTTGACGAAGTCTTACTCAAACTCCCCACTGATATCCACTAACACTCGTTAAAAAATATATGATCTATTTTCCATGAAAATCAGCAGACTTCTGATTTCCTGCAATATGCAGTTCATTCACCAATTAACTCAGTGATCAGAGCATGTAATTACTTTCATAAGTAAATCATACTCTAATTAATTTTTTGTTCCTCATCGGTGCTACTGGAAGACACTTTCAAAACCTTCTTGGCATAGGAACTGGCTCCTTTTATGATTTCTCACCCTAAATTTATTTATGATAGCAAATCATGATACTGTTATTTGTCCTTGTCCTGTCATCATCCTGCCGCTTAAACAACTTCTTCCTTGGCATATTTATAAAGACAGGAAGACAGATGCCTCACTGCAATATATCTATAGTTGTCCTGGTTTCGGCTGGGATAGAGTTAATTTTCTTCCTAGTAGCTGGCATAGCACTGTGTTTTGGATTTAGTGCTAGAAGAATGTTGATAACACCCTGATGTTTTAGTTGTTGCTAAGCAGCACATAGACTAGTCAAGAACTTTTTCAGCTTCCCATGCTCTGCCAGGCACACAAGAAGCTGGGAGAGGGCACAGCCAGGACAGCTGACCCCAGCTGGCCAAAGGGCTGTTCCACACCATATGTCATGCTTGGGGGAATTGGCCAGGGGGAGAGCGATCGCTGCTCAGGATGGGCTGGCCATCGGTCAGCAGGTGGTAAGCACTTGCATTGTGCATCACTTGTTTTGTATATTCTGTATATTCTCTTACCATTATTACTATTATTTTCCTCTACTGTTTTATTAAACAAGACAGTTTATCTCAACCCATGGGTTTTACTTTCCCCCCCCCGATTCTCTCCCCCATCCCACTGAGGGGGGGGGGGGGGAGCGGCTGTGTGGCGTTCAGCTGCCTGACAGGCTAAACCACAACATGGATGGAAGAATGGAAAAGACAGAGAAATATTCTGACCATCTTACTAGAGAGGGAAACATGGACTCCTAGTATCTGTAAGCATTATGTAATTCATATCTCCTCTGGAGAGGAGGTCCAGGGTCACCACTGCACCAAACAGTTCCAAGGCAAAGTGCTTCCTTTCCTTTTTATTTTTCTTTTTTCCTGTCACACTCTACAAGGCCCAATTTCCAGCCCTCATTCCAAACATTGTTTTCACCTTGGCCTCGCCGATGCCCTCACCGACAAGGTGCCGGCTCACCGCGAGCACCA